CGATCTCACGCTCCCGCGTTTCTCGCGGCGCACGCACGCACGCATGTACGTACGCACGACCCCCCCAAGTTCACGGCTGTCGCGGACAGGTGCTTGTTTCGGAGCTGCGAGAGACTTGAGACTTGGAGAGAGTTTACTGTCGCGTGTTGATCCTTCAGACATCGACGTCGTTCGACGCGAATTTCTGGATGACGCTTCTATCTTAATTTCTACTACACGATAAATCATTTTCGTGTCTCAGATTAATTTTCATCACTTTAACAAATATACTTTATAAAATTATTAAGTGATTTTTACATATACAATATTGACCAACAATATCAGATACCTTATTAATCGTTATGTAAGGTTTTAGTTAAAAAAAAAATGATTTATGGCATTTACCGTAAATTGTCCTTTATTTTAATAAGGTAACTAATAGACGACAATATACATACAGGTAAAAGAATTTCAAATATCTAAATGAAAAATATATAGGTACTTATTATTTGTAGTCAAGGCTGTTCTTTAGGAAGTATTTATACAGTATATTTTTAAAAGAATTGTATATAAAAACGTTATAATTAATTACTTCATGCTTCTGATTTTTTCGAAGAAAAGAAATATGCAGGGAGTTGAGTGTGTATTTTGAAATGAGAATGAAAATGAGCAAATTTATTAAGTGATGATCAATTAAATTATGAATATTCTAGTAAATTTGCTTATTTTTGTAATTTTTATCTTATTTCAAGATATACAATCGACCTCTAGGATACGAACATCCAATCGTGTGTACTAAGAATTTATTGTCCCCAAGCTACGCGCACTTGATATCACACACATTACACATATTATCAAAGATGCGAATATCTCGCTTTTACATTAATGCTTGATAGCAGTTCGCATAGTAACTATCTATTATGGTTTCTATTGTTCAATAATACTGAATTATCTGAGAATTTCATGCGAACATTAGTAGTGATTTGATGCTAAAGTGCGAAATGGACTCATTGAAATCGATGTTTTTGTAGTACCTCGTTTCCGTGAAACATTATATGTAAAGTATCTCAGAATATTATTCTTTTGATCTCAACTTTTCTTTGATCAATTTGAAGTTGTTTCCCTTAACTAAAATATCGAAGGAAATCTTTTCATCCTTTCAATATTTGACATATTTATTAGTCATTTAAATTTTACTGAAATTTGAATTTACTTGAAAGTAATGGAAAAGTGTCTTTTTATCTCATTTATCTTTTCACCTGAAATTTAATTAGAAATACCTTGGTCTTAATTATTAACCTAATATTACTCAAATATTTTTTTAAATGTAATTACTCACAGAATGTTTCTGATATCTCAATATCATGTCATTTTTTAATGTTTTCTTTGATAATTTCTAATTAAATAAAGATTGATAATATTTTATATTATCTCTTTTAGATAAAAATAAATACAAAATTTTTTTAAATTGTTAAATAAATAATTTGTATTAAACTAATATATTTAGTTACTATTTAAGCAAATATTTATTAAAATAAACTAAATTTTAATAAATATTTGTTTAAATAGTAATTAAATATTTACTAAATGTAAGCATATTTATTTCCTACAAGAACTACCATTAATTTGACTTAATAACTGTCATTTTTATTAAGTAATACTGAAAAGAATATGTATTAAAATTTATTAAATCTTTTTCGTTATATACTAACGTCTAAACGTTAGTGTATAAATAACTTTTAGCGAATTTATAGAGCGAGAGACTTCACGCGAATAATAAAGAGTTAATTATTCTTCAATCGTTAATTACTCGATACTCTTAACCGGGAAAAGTTGATTCCGATTGATTGTAGAATCCGCAGCGTGCGACAGGAACACGTGCTTGGATAAACATTTGGGGCTTAAACTTTTCGGGTTTAAAGAGATTTAGTGCGCTCATACGCGTTTCTTCTTCTATTTACTGCCGACGAGAGCAAATAGGAGACGTATTAAATCGTCGTTGTCGTTAGACGCGATTGCCCAAGTGTTTGCTTTGCAAAGAGAGAATCCGATCGGATCTTTAGAGCGCGCGAGTCAGATATTTCGCTACTTTGATAGCTTTATTATCGGTCGTAGACGCGCGATTAATTTGTCGTCTTCCATTTGGCGTCTACCTCCT